CCAAGAATGCAAAAGAAACACTGACTAACTTACCATAATCACACAGTACTTTACTTGTGATAGAGACATTACATTTTTTAAGGTTATGGTAGGCTAGTTGTTTTACATTTCCTTTAGAAAAAACCCTGAGTATATTAGTTCCGTTTTAAATTGTTGCCAAGGGCCTTTTTTTGAAGGGTTATATAAAAGGAACGTTACATCTAGGAAGTTCGCCAGCTGTGTTAGATAAGAAAATTGCTCTGTGAGTGAATGTCTATGAGCATATCTAGCCCTCTATGTTTTCATCACCAGGATTCAGATTATTTCATATCAGTGAATCTATTTTTGCAGCTTATGTTGATACTCTGCTTTTTACCAGCGTATAGCACAAACCTGGCCAGCAAATAGGACAAGCTTAATAACTTTTTTGAGTCCCAATTTCCTATTATTACAACCAGATGGCAAAATGATTGTGTCAAATTTTTATATACGTGCATTTCCATATTTCTATATACGTTTAAACAATCTCAAAGTTACAGGGAAGTCGCAAATACAGAGTTTTGTCTTCTTCTACTATCCGAGAGTGATTGGCCGCCATGGGGCCTCCAGATACCTCCAGGTGTCTTTTGACAAGCAGCAATGCTCTCCTATGCGGCTGTAGCACAGCACTGAAATCAGGACCGCAGCACCGATACATTGCTTCTGCCTCAGCGTTAGACCCATGGTCCAGACCATGCCCTTAGAAGAAAAAGCATCTAGTTCACAATCACACAGTTGGGTCTCCTTGGTTTCCTTCTGTCTGCAACAGTATCTCACCTCTCCCTCCACTTCCTTGACCTCGGTACTTCGGAAGACGACCGGCCAGGCATCTTTCAGACCCGCCTTCCGTTTAGGTTTGTCTGCAGTTTCCTCGTGGCTGCGTCTGGGTTGCACATCCATGGCAGGAGTAACAGAAGGGACCTGCTCTTACTTCTTTCTCACAGGTAGCACGCGGCTCTGGTTTTCCCATTATTGATGGTGCCCACTCTAGTCAAATAAATAAGATATTGTTTACCAGCCTTCTGCACAATGAAGTTACTCTTTGTCTCTTATAATTAATACTTTGTGTGACATCATTTGTAATTATGTAAATATCCCATTTCTCATCTGACTTGCCATTTATTTATCATTTTCAAATGAACTCATGAATTCTCATTTTACTCTGTTCTATGGATTTTTACTCTGTTCTATGGATTTTTGGTCTATCCTTATATCAGTTTTGCAATGCCTTGAATTCTGTAACTTTACAGTAAGATAGTAAAGGCTTCTCTAACCTCACTCTTTTTTCCAGAATTTCCACTCTTGCTTCCTAGCTGTTATGGTCGCTCCAATCTGTCTTCTGCTTCTGAAGCCAGCAGGACTGCAGTTTTATATGCAGTTTTAGCAGTGCCATGTGGTACCTACCACTGGAGCCTGACCTCTGGCAAAAGCCACAGAGAATCAGACTCTTACCTTGTGTCATTTCCGTCTTTCACGTTTCCTCTGTCTTCCAGTTTCCGCCGCTTTCGTTTAGCTCCTCAGTGCCCTCGTGTATTTGTTTTGTGTATTTGTCCAGATACAGTTCAGATCTGTGTCCAGAGGGAAGGTTGGTCCGATAGGGGCAGCTTGCCCGTCACAGAAGTGGTACCTACCCAGATGGTTCATAAAAGTCAGACGAGCAGGCATCTGGCCAGCAAAGCAATTAAAGTGAGGAGTGGGGAGAGGTTTGGTGCAAAGGGAGGCAAGTTTTGAGTAGAGAGAGAAAGAATTCAGTTCAGTTCAGTTGGAGAAGGCTTAGACTAAAGCCAACCCGTGCTTAGAAGAACTCCAGGCAAAAGAACTTGCTAGAACACTGTGTTTCAAACTGTGAGTCATAAAAGCAATTTAGTAAGTGACCTCTTAAAAAATAATTTTTTCCTACTAATCTAACCCAAAATGATAAACCAAGCTGAAAGTCAGACCAGGCATCACCGTTTTGCACTGCGCCCTCGGCTCTCCCGCGAGTCCCTGCCGTCCCTGAACTCGCGCCTTCTCTGCCCCGCGCGTGCTGGGGGCACACCCTGGCGTTCTGTTGGGCTTCCCTGGTGACACAACAGGCGTACAAGTACCCCTCAATAAACGTTCGGTATAGGTGTGTAACGGTGAATCCACCATTTGTCAGAGTGGTGTCGGGGTTGTCGGGGTCGGGGAAGAATCATTGGCTTTTGGAGAGCCAGAGTTTCCTGGGGTAGGGCCGGTGCTCAGTATTTGCCCGTCACGTAACCGGCTCTGCCGTCAGCAACCCCCAGAGTCCCCTGCTCGTGGAAGGGCAGTGACAGGGCACACCGGGAAGGCCGCAGTGGGGGCCGAGTCAGAGCCCCTCCCCTCCTTCCGCAACCTGGTGCTCCTTCTCTGTCTCTGCCTGCAGCCCTTCCTCCGGCCCCTTACACACACACACGCGCGCACACACACGCTCACACACACACACACACCTGTGAGCTCTGGGGACAAGCACAAGTGAAGCAATATGGAACCTTACTGTATAAATCAAAGAAAAATTTTAAAGTAAAAGAATGCTAATCCCTCTTTCAATTTTAAAAATTCAGCAGAGCTCTGGCAACCGATGATAATGGAGAAAAGCTCCTTTCAGATTCATTAGGTAATGATTCCATGATCTAATTTCTCTCTCAGTAGAAGACAGTGTGATAATATCATCATTAGCAGAAGAAGGTTAAAAGAGAACAAGATACTTCAAAAGATACCATTAAGGAAAGGAGAAGGCAGGGCACAGACCGGGAGGAATACTGGCGTAGAGTCTGACAGTAGACTTGTAAACTGAATGTACGAAGAAACCCTACGAATCAATAATGATAACATGAACAACATAGTCAAACAAATGAGCAAGAACTTGAGGAGACGGTGACGAAGGAATATATATATATCAGTTGCCTAACAGCACGTGATAATGTGCTCTGTGTCCTTAGCTGTTAGGAGAATGCAAGTCAGAGCCACAGGGACTGGCTGTGTCAACCAAGGGCCTGGCAAGACCAAGTCTTAACAAGGGTGGGAGGCACTGAGAGCCCATCCTTCGCTGGTCGGGGGTACAGTAGTTGTGCAGGTACTCTGAAACGACAGTTTGGCATTTCTTAGCAAGTTAAGCATTCACTTAGCATTTGAGCCTTGAGCCTCCACTCCTAGTTATTTACCTAAGAAAAACAACCCGTACCCACAAAAAGCCTTGTGTACACGTAGTGACCTTATTCATACTAGCCAAAAACTGGGGGAAGAAGCCCCAAATGCTCATCTGCGGGAGCGTGGATGCACAAACTGCGGCACGTTCAGGTGGTGGAGCACTACGCAGCAGTTAAAAAGCAGGGGGGGACTGCTGGTCCAGGCAGCAGCGCGGCAGAACCTCAGGGACGTTATGCTGAGTCAAGGGAGCCAGGCACAAAAGAGTGCATGTATTAGCAACGTGGTTCCGTTTGCATGAAAGTCTTTGAAATGCAAAGCTAATAACACATTGTGCTAAAATCGGAACAGAGCATGCCGGGGTTTGACTGCACAAAGGCACAGGGGAGGTGCTGGAGTGAGGGGAATGTTCCGTAACGATGGGTTACGCAATGACCCAGCTCAGGGAAGCGTGCAGTTAAAATGTGTGCATCTCATTGCACACAACCTTGAAGTGAAAAAGAGTTCCCGACCCCGTACTCTGACTTCCCTGGCATCCGGGGGACGGCTCGCTTCCCCTCCCTGTGGCGGCCCTGCCTGAGGATCTTTGACCAGCACTGCCCTGCAGGGAGACAGTTTTCATACTTGCGTATCAGGTGAGGTCCCCTCGCTGAGGCGAAGCCCAGCACGTGGATGGGGCGCACGTCCGGGACCAACTAGCACGACTGGGGTGACTGGCTTTAAAAATGCACGTGGGAACGCCCGAACGGTCCGCAAACTCTGGGCCACGCACCTCGTCTGGTACCACCCTTGAGCTGCACATGGTTTTTATATTTTAAAGCGTTGTTTAAAAAAGCAAAAACAATATGCATTAGATGTATTAGTGTCTCTCAAAGCTGAAAATGTTCACTCTTTGGACATTTACAGAAAAGCTTACTAATTCCTGTTCTGTACTCTTTGATCAGCACCCCACGCCTACTGCACTGAGTCAGCTCCTTACAGCTTAGGATGGGTATCTTCTTGAGAAAGTATGCTCTCAGCTCTTCGAAGTACTAGTTAGTGTACATGAAGTATACAACCTTGTTTCCTTTCCTCTGAAGAGTGAGGCGAACCCTGAGTTACGTGGTGTGGAAGCTGTTCCCAGGAGTGCTGGATTTTCCATGAATGGGCCTCTTTGGCTCTGTACCTGCAGCCGGTTAGAATGCTGTCAAAGATGGTGTATCTGGAACACGCGCGCTGGCGGGTGCGGCTCTCTCAGCCATTCTGCAAAACGTGCCGGCAGCGTTAAGGGTTTCTGCTTTGCCCTGATGGTGTAGATGGGAGGGGTCATTTTTACCCATTAGCACTTGGGAAAGTGGGAGAGTAATGTAGGAGGTGTTTGAGAACGTCGGGAGGTTATAGAAGCTGGTTATTTCGTCTGTTAGATTAGGGAGTTCGCAGTACACGTTCGGCAGCGTTCAGATTTCCTCCATGAGTGCGTGAGAACCCACACCGCTCACCTTCCCACCCTCCCTCTCCCACCCTCTCCCACCCTCAGCTCCTGCTTCCTGTGATTTCATTTGCCTGACAGCAAACCGCAGTGGAAGTTTTAAAACTAACTTGGGTGCTCTTTGAGCACCTCTTTATCTCAAATTCTGAAGGTGAACCTGGGGATAATGGGGCATCTGAAATTGCTGTAGGAAAGATGCTGCCTCTTTGGGGGGCCTGCTGTGCTCATGACCCACACGTTCAAGTTGAAGGACCAGTGCAGTCGTGTGGACAGCCCCCAAACAAGAGCGGGCGGCACCCCGGCGGGAGCCGGCGCCTGCTGAAAGTCTGTGGATGCTGACGAGATGCTCTCTTTCCACCCCCTCTAGGCCTACTCTGTCTACGATGAGGACATCGGGTACTGCCAGGGGCAGTCTTTTCTCGCCGCCGTCTTGCTGCTGCACGTGAGTAACTGCTGCGTGATAGATAGATGCCAGGGCGCTGCCCGGTGTGCCAGGGCGCTGCCCGGTGCGGTTCATTTCTCCCTGGGTCTGTCCTCCTCCTCATTTTTCATTTACCAGTGGAGATTGCACATGGCATATCTTTAAAAAAAACACGTACCTTTGGTGATAAATGAAGAGATCTGAAGTCAAGAGCAGGACACTTGCCTGGTGGAATGAATTCTGTAGGCGAGGAGGCAATACATTGCTTGTTTGGAGTTATTTTTAACTAGAACCCTCCACAACTGAAAATGTCAGTGTAACCGCCCAGATAGGGGCCGCACCAGGACCATTGTGAAGGGGAGTGACAGGGAGGTGTTTTGCCTTTTCTGTGATTTATTTTTGTGTGCTCTCTTTCTTCTCAGTCACTTCCAAGTAACAGAACATTTCTTGAGCATCTGTTGTCAGTTCTGGGCTAGAAGGTGGGATTGCACATATGCATAACGTATGACTTGTGTTCCCAAAGGCCTTGGGGTCCAGAATGGGGCACAGAGAATGGAGGCACATACTTACTATTTTAGTTCTTATGTCTTTATTGATTTTTCTTAAGTTTATTAGAGAACTTACAGAGAACCTCCTGAGGGTTTAGTGAAAGCGATACACAAAGTAAGAGAATGATAGAAGAATTACCCAACCCAGAACTTTCAGGAAAGGCTTTCTGGAGGAGGTGGTAGCTTTGCTGAGACATAAATAATCCAGGGTGGGGGAGGTGAGACAGGAAAGGAAGGACGTAGAGATTGTTAGACAATAGGGACAAAACGAACAAATATATGGAAACACAGAAGGGTACAACGTACAAAGGCAACACAGTGGAGTCACAGTCTCTGTGCAGTTGGTGGAGAATTGTACGGAGGGAGAGGTACCAGGTGACAGCGGTCAGATGGGCAAGGGACCAAAGTAGCAAGGCTTCGTAATCCTGTCAGGAAAGGTGGGCATCATTCTGAAGCAGGGCGTCAGACTCATTTTCACCAGCGGCCACATCAGCCTCGCGGTTGCCTTCAAAGGGCCCAGTGTAATTTCAACTCCTTAACAGTTAAGGAGTAGTTACGTTTATACAGTCCTAAAATTCTCTCGGACATTCACTATGAAGGGTCAAAGGTAATGTGCCTAGTTTTCTAGCTTTGGTGACTGAGTGAATTGTGGAATTTTGAGCTGAGATAGGAAAGGGTGCATTCATGGAGACTGAGTGAGGAAGGAGGGTTGGGGTGGGTGGTGAACTTTGTTTTGAATGCCTTGAGTGCGCGCTCTTTGGGGGACGTCTGCGTGAAGCTGTCCAGCAAGCAGCTGGATATCGGAGACTGATGAAAAAATCAAAGCCAAAATTGTGAAAGTGGATCAGGTCATCTCAGAAGAATAAATAGAGTAAGAAGAACAGGATAGAGCTCAGAGATGCCAGATATTTAAAGGGTTGATGAGGAAAAGGAATCCTTCAAGAATTCCTGGATTTTCAGCTGGGAGGAAGCAGTGTATAATGTCAAATGCAGCAGAGAGGTACAGCAAGGAAAGCATGTTTTCCAGGCTTACATTCTGGGAAGGGAGACAGGCCGGTGTATTATGGTCCTGGTTCTAATAACTTGGTTCTAATGGTAATAATGATACACACCTGTGGTTATTCACCTTACTCAACTTTGAGTTTGATTTCTTTGTTGCATCACCACTTGCTGTTAGTCTTCTTGCCTGTCGTCCCTCTCTCTTTGGTATCTCCGTAGCCAGTCTTCTTGGGCTGTGATAATCGCCCCATGATAGTCAAGCAGTTGATGGCCACAGAGTCTCTGCAAGCAAACCCACCCCACATGTAGAACACCCAGGCCCCACGACAGGGGCTGGAGACTGTGCGCAGGGACATGGACGTGCTCACCCAGGCGCAGAGCCCCTGCCCCTCCGAAAGGAGCCGCGGCGGGCGCTCTGATGACAGCGCGTTCCAGCCGTATGTGGCGAGCACTGTCCTCCACAGAGTGAGCCTTGAGCACATCGCAGTTTGGAGTTTTAGACCTGTGGTCCTCGGAGACACTTTGTCACATGTCGATCGAAATTCATTCAGAGGCATAGCTCTCTGAGAAGTCTGTTCTGAGGTTTAACAGAGGGCTAGTTACTTGTAAGTTCATGTTTGTTTGGAAACGCCTTTCTCTGAAAAGAGAGAATGAATCAAATAAGCAGAAAATTCAAATACCCAGAATTTTTTCTACATTATCTCCTCTTTTATTATAAGGGTCATATGACAAATTGGCCATGTAAACATTTTTCAACAAAATTGCTTTTAATGTATGTCACAAGATGTGTAGAAATTCAGTCTAGGCTCTTACACTTTCTGCATTAATACTTAAAATTACTCAGTTGTTGCCAGGTCTTATAAGATAACTGGAAATACAGAAATGCCTTCAGAATCTTGAGGACAGATGAACTGATATTCAGCATAGTGTTAATGAAAAACATACTGTAATTTTTAATTGACAGTATTTGCAGTATTGCTCTTTATCAGCACATTCCATTAACTAACCAACCCATCCCAGGAACCAATCTGAATAAGAAAAGTTAACTGTAATTTTTTTCTCCCATATTTTTGCCTGCATGGTTCAAATAGGTAGGAGAATACGGTCTAGCTTAAACAATTCATCAAATGCATTATCTCAGGTTCTAGGGAGATACATTATGAGGGTCTCACTAATTTTTTATCAGTTACATAAGCTATTGCTTCTTTTTGCTGCCAGACTTCCTCCGGCAGCTCCACATTAATCACTGTCAGAGGCCGCTGCTGTGGGGGAGCTGCCTTTTCCTCCCCGCGGTCATTTATATTTTACCTTCACTGCCAAAGGGGGAGGAAAGACCCAAACTGAAAGGACGTTCAAAAACAAAATTTTAGAACTTTTAAGTTTCACCACGTCTAAGTAGTTTTAGGAAATAACTGCCTTCCTGATTGGACATTTCCAGAGGCTTTGAAAACAGCTTTGTGACTTGTCGCCGTTTAAACCCTGGAAGAGTTAAGTGTTTATGGCAGTAGATGCTGTTACGTCTATTGGTGACATTACAGGAAGCTTACCGTTTACATGCAGTTGGAGAAGGATGTTCTAGCTGTTTTCAGACTTGGGAGGAGAAGTGGCTGTTTTAAATACTGCTCCTGTGAGAATGTGAAACTGGTTAATACATGAAATGCAAAATGAAAAATCAGTCATTCAAAGCAAAAAAAAAAAAATCCCTGTGCTGCACTTCACATCTCGAGACTCCTTGGAAACGGCCCATCTGTACCCCTCGACCCTTCACCTCTCCGCTCAGCCCCGGCCCCTCCCTCTGGCAGCCGTCAGCCTGTTCTCTGTACCTGCGAGTTCGTCTCTGTTCCATTTGTTCTGTATAGTCCACACTTAAGAGAAATCAGATGATATTTGTGGGTTTTATTTCAAAATAAAATAAGGTTTAAAAATTATGAATTCTTTAATGCACCTCCCAGAAAGGCAGCTTTAGGATAAGCTTTAACCAGTAGACCTAAGAAGTGAGAAACAGAGCTGCTTCTTAGTTTTTTGATCCCACAGCATCCAGGGTGACAAGGTAGAGGCTTCCCAGTGTTTTTATAAGTAAAAGTGTTTGTGACATTATATAACTCAGGACTCTCTCTGCTACCGTGATGCAACCTTAGCTCGAAGTACCTTCAGTTACAAAGGAAATTGATTGGCTTGCCGAGTGGGGAAGTCCAGGGCGGAGGCGACTCTGGCATGGCTGGATTCCAGACTTCATATTTTGTCATCAGTAATCTGTGTTGTTTTATCTCTGGTTTTACATTTTCTTGCCTTAGTTATACGGATCAACCACAAAGCGGGCGACACGGCTGCCTGGCCTGGCCCGGCCCGGCCCATAGCCTTTCAGTTTTATGACTTCATTTAAAGGGGACCATCTTTTGCTGCAGCTCCTACATGGAAAAGAAGAAGTCCATGGAGGATTCTCATTGGCCTGCCTTGGCAACCCGCCATCCCCAAATCAGCTGTGAGGCCAGGAAGCTGGCCAGGGTCCTGAGTTGCCCTCGAGAGCTGCCGGTGTGCTGGATGGGCTCCTCCTGAACGTGGGGCGGTGCTGCTGGAGGAAGAGGGTTTTGGTCCAGATGATAGGGAGCTAGGACCCTAGACAGCCGCATAACATCATCTACTGCGATGTCCTTACTGCAGGAGTTTTAGTGCATTTTTAATAAGTCCTTTTATGCTCCCAAATCACTTTTTTCTTATAATCCAAGATTTTAATCTTATAATCCTTAGGTTTTCCTTTTGTACATTAATGCAAAAGGAGTGCTTTGCATCAGTGCTTTGGAGCTATTTTTCTAATACCGTCTTCCTGTGTCCTGTAAATATATTCAAGATATTTTACCTTTAAGAAATATTTTGTTGATGCTCTCATTTCAACATCTTAGGTTTCTCTGCTCTTTCAAAGCTGGACTCGCTCAAAGGATAGTCAAAAGCACAACTGTGTATTTGAACTGTGGTCTCATACCTTTTAAGTCGCATGGCCTTGGGCAAGTTTCCTAAACTCTCTGAACCTCAGGGTTTTTTATTTATAAAATGGAAACAGTGTTGCCATATTTCTGGGGTTCTCATGAATATTGAATACCTTATGAGCACAAACGCTCTTATCGAGTATCTGGCACCAAGACCGTAACCGTGGGATTGAATCCCGGCTTTACCTAATACATGTATTGTTATTGGCAAATCACTTAGCTTCGTTGGACGCCACCAGTCTAGTGTTTAAAGTGTAAATATCATACCTACTTTGCAGAATTTGGGGAGGATCAAATGGGATCATGAATGAAGATCTCTGGTAACAGTAGCTGCTGCTACTCTCAGAAACTAATCATTATTTGCCTATTCAATTTTCTTTTGGACTCTGGTCCCACTAGCTTAAATTGATCACCCATTCACAGACTAATAGGTTGTACAGCATGCTCTATTGCTTATGTGAGTAAGTAGACATTAAGTTTAAATGTATTT